TTCCTTTAACCGGACATGGCTGCAACTGAGAAAAGGCATGGAACCCCAGTGTCGACAATGAAACAATTGGTCAGGAGGGGCAAAATGCAAGAGACAGAAATGAGACTTCAACTTTTCTTCCCAAAGAGCCTTCCTGACTATGCCACCTTTTCTTTCCTTTAATTTTCTTTTTGGAGGCCGCAAAGGGCTGCAACCGGGAAAAGGCACGGGACCACAGTGTCAACAATGAAACAATGGTCAGGAGGGGCAAAATGCAAGAGACAGAAATGAAAATTCAACTTTTCTTCCCAAAAAAGTCTGCCACCTTTTCTTTTCTTTCCTTTCCTTTTTCGTTTTGGAGGCCAGAGGGGAAAGGAGAGATTGTTGTTCCTTCTTAATCTTATCACCCTCAGAAGTTCGGCTTTGTTTCCATTCCTTTCGAAGTTTCGCGAGTTAGTTAATCTTCGAGTGTCCTCAATTTCTCCTTTGCAGGTTTCCTTGATTAAGCAAAAAAGAAGAAGACAGTCGGCCTTGCACTAAAGAAGAAGACAGTCGGCCTAGCACTACACGTTGCAAGGTGCACAGCTAACAAGAGTTAACGTCTTCATAGATTTATAGCTTTGAAAGTTGTTCCTTTGCTTGTAGTAAAATTTGGAATTTATAGATTTCCAAGCAAGTTCGTTATAATATGTACGAGCCCCATTGTACATTCGTTTGAACCTCCACGCAAGGGCCGTTACCCGGTTTCGTTTTTTTTTTTTTTTTTTTTTTCAATTCTCAGACACAAAGGACATGTGACAGCTGCACAGCCTCGTCAGCCTCCTGTGGCTTCCAGGTGGACAAAAGTATGACTGGCTGTGTCCTGTCCCCCTCAGCTGCTTTTCAGCCACCACAGTAGCATTACAAATCCACTGGCTGTGTCCTGATGGGCTGGGAAGACATCTGGGAACCGTGGAGGGGGCCGCAACGGTACTGCCGGGCTGATGGAGTGTTTCTTTTTTCGGAGTGTTTCACGACACTTCACTTTGTTCATGTTTAGCACATTAGCACATTAGTAAATTACATCCTCCAGCCTCAAGGAGAGTAAAGGCTCACATTTTGTGCTACGTTTTTTCATATGACTGTCTCTGATCATTTCTGCACATTCCTCGCCCTCCACCAGCACGTCCTCCAACAGATGTATGCATCACTTCCGCCACAGTGACCAGAGAACCACCCTCCTCCCCTATCTGAACACTGGCCTGTATACTGGCAAGGGAGGAATGTGGTACTCTGATTGGTGTGAGAGTACTGCATGACACTCTCGCCGGTGTGATCGACCGGCTGAGGTGACCGAAGTGGTCATTTTTGTGGACAGGAAGGCTGCGAGTGATGAGAGGTACTTGGTGGTGATAGTCATTGGTAATGTGGTGGTGCATCTTGGTGTGAGAGCCGTGTGATGGTGTTGTGTATGATTGGTCTGGAAGCATGTATGCCATCACAGACCTCAGATTAATTAGGGGCAGTGGTGGCTTGAGTTAAAAAAACTTCAAATCCTGTGATAAAATGTAGGTTGAAACTTCGAAATCTTCCCAACAGTCTCCAATAATCCAATTCCATAGTGCCAGTGAATGGCAGTTCCTCGTTCTTTTCACTTTTTTATGACATGAGAAAAACCGTTCTTTCGCTGCTGCCCCCCAGCCCCTCCCTGCACCGCGTCTGGGGCGACAGGGGCATGGGGCTGTATCCCTTCTTTCTGCCTATTCTTTCTCTTGTGGAACATGCCTGTCTCAGACTGGTGATAAATAACCGGACTGCTGGGCCCCAGAATAGATGGGGTTGTCTGTTACAAAAAAAAAAAACAAGTCGACCTGCCGCAGCTTCGTGGGAGGCGGCAAAGAGGTGCGTGAGGCAAGGGACATTCGTGGAGAGGGACAGCAGAAGGGAGGCAGGCAGGAGACGTGGGAGAGCGAGGGAAGTGACAGAGGGAAAAGAGGAGGGAGCAGGAGGGAGCAAGAGCGCTTGGAGATTGTGTGTTTTGATCATTCGATAATGAGTCCTGCTGTGTTCTCTCTCTCTCTCTCTCTCTCTCTCTCTCTCTCTCTCTCTCTCTCTCTCTCTCTCTCTCTCTCTCTCTCTCTCTCTCCATCGAATGCAGTACGCGTGCCATGGACACATCATGTTCA